CCCCTAAGGCCCCGTTAATTTTAGGACATCCTTGGTTGCTGAAACACAACCCACATATTGATTGGGTCAATAATTCTAGTTTAGCCTGGAGTCAGTCTTGTCATATGCCATGTTTAGGTGCTGCTTTTCCTGCTGTCTCTGTGTCTTGTGTTTCGCAGGTGGATCCCACTGACTTGACCGGCGTCCCGGCGAAGTACTGCGATCTTCGTGCGGTTTTCAGTAAGTCCCGGACCACCTCGCTACCTCTGCATCGTCCCTACGACTGTGCCATAGACCTTCTCCCGGGCACTTCTCCGCCTAAGGGTCGTTTATATTCCCTTTCCAGTCCTGAAAGAGAGGCCATGGACAGGTATATATGTGAGTCACTACAGGCTGGGCTCATTTGCCATTCATCCTCTCCCACCGGGGCGGGGTTTTTCTTCGTTCAGAAGAAAGACGGCTCCCTACGCCCTTGTATTGATTACAGAGGTTTGAATGACATTACAGTAAAGAACAGGTACCCCCTACCTCTAATGTCTTCTGCTTTTGAATTGTTGCAGGGTGCTCGGGTCTTCACCAACTTAGACCTCCGCAACGCCTACCATCTGGTGCGCATTCGGGAGGGGGATGAGTGGAAGACGGCATTCAACACCCCCTCGGGACACTACGAGTATCTGGTTCTTCCGTTTGGTCTGACCAATGCTCCGGCCGTTTTCCAGGGTCTCGTCAATAGCGTTCTGGGTGACATGATTAATCAGTTCGTCTTTGTGTATTTGGATGATATTCTGATTTTCTCCCCTTCTCTCCACTTACACACTCAGCACGTTAGACGGGTCCTCCAGCGCCTATTAGAGAACCAGTTGTTCGTCAAGGCAGAGAAGTGCGAATTCCACGCCGAGTCTGTTACGTTCCTTGGCCATATCATCTCTACCAGGGGGATTAAACCAGACCCTGCTAAGATAGAAGCTGTCGCCAAGTGGCCAGTCCCCGACTCCCGTAAGGCCCTGCAGCGTTTCCTGGGTTTTGCCAACTTCTATCGGCATTACATCAGGAGTTTTGGTCAGATCGCTGCTGCACTCACGGCATTAACCTCCACCAAGGTGTCCTTCAGGTGGAACCAGGATGCTCAGGTAGCCTTTGACACATTAAAGTCCCGTTTTGTCTCTGCACCTGTTCTGTTGGTTCCAGATCCTGAGTCCCAGTTCATTGTCGAGGTTGGCGCATCGTACGTCGGGGTTGGCGCAGTTCTATCTCAGCGATCCCTTCGCGACGGGAAGGTGCACCCGTGTGCATTCTTCTCTCGCAGTCTCAGCCCTGCAGAACGTAACTACGACATTGGCAATAGAGAACTGTTAGCGGTGAGATTGGCATTGGGCAAGTGGCGTCACTGGTTGGAGGGGTCGGCACAGCCCTTCTTGGTCTGTTCTTCTCTCGCCGTCTCAGCCCTGCAGAACGTAACTATGACATTGGCAATAGAGAACTGTTGGCGGTGAGATTGGCCTTGGGGGAGTGGCGTCACTGGTTGGAGGGGTCGGCGCAGCCCTTCTTGGTCTGGACGGATCACAAGAATCTCGAATATATCCGTTCGGCCAAGAGGCTGAGCTCGCGTCAGGCCCGCTGGGCACTTTTCTTTGGCCGATTCAACTTCACCCTCTCGTACCGGCCAGGGTCCAAAAATGTCAAGCCCGACGCTCTCTTGCGCCTGTTCGGGGCTCCGGAGGGGGAGCTTGCGGCCGAAGCCATCCTTCCTGAAGGGGTGGTGGTCGGGGCTCTTTCTTGGGGGATCGAGCGGCGAGTAGAGGAGGCCGGTCGAGGGGTGCAAGTGCCAGGGAGGTGTCCGGCGGGGCTGCGCCCCGAAGTCCTTCAGTGGGGTCATGCGTCCAGGCTCGTCTGCCATCCAGGGATTCGGAGAACGTTGTTTGCCATCCGTTAAAGCTTCTGGTGGCCCACACTGGCCGCAAATGTCAGACAGTTTGTGTTGGCCTGCCCCACATGCGCCCAATGTAAGCCAGTGAATCGCCCTCCTGATGGTCTGCTTCATCCTCTTCCTGTCCCTTCCCGTCCATGGTCACACATCGCCCTTGATTTTGTCTCTGGGCTTCCCCCATCAAAGGGTAACACTGTGATACTCACTGTGGTGAATCGCTTTTCTAAGGCGGTTCATTTCCTTCCCTTGCCCAAATTGCCCTCCGCCCGGGAGACCGCCCATCTGATTGTGGATCACGTCTGCCATCTCCATGGATTGCCGGTTGACATGGTTTCAGATATGGGTCCTCAGTTGTTGACGTGGTTTCAGATAGGGGTCCTCAGTTCACCTCCCGGTTTTGGAAAGAGTTTTGTAGACAGATCGGGGCCTCTGCGAGTCTGTCTTCCGGTTTCCATCCTCAGACCAATGGGCAATGCGAGCGGGCCAACCAGGATCTCGAAAGAATGCTCCGCTGTCTGACATCCAACAATCCGAGTTCCTGGAGCCAACAGCTCTCTTGGATAGAATACGCTCGTTACTCCTTTCCAGTGGCGGCTTTAGGTATGTCTCCTTTTGAGTGCTCTGTGGGTTATAAACCTGGATAGAATACGCGCGTAACTCCCTTCCAGTGGCGGCTTCAGGTATGTCCCCTTTTTGAGTGCTCTGTGGGATATAAACCGCCTCTGTTTCCATCACAGGAACCCGATGCTGCGGTTCCGTCCGCCCTGGCTTTCGTTCAGCGCTGCCGCCGCACCTGGGAGAAAGTCAGGAGGGTTTTGGTCCGAACCTGGGGACGAACCAAGGCAGCAGCCAATCGTCGCCGGTCCTCTCCTCCAACCTATGTGTGTGGTCAACGGGTATGGCTTTCTACCAGGGATCTGCCTCTCCGGGCACCTTCTCGAAAGCTGGTGCCCAGATTCATTGGGCCGTACCGCGTCACCAAGGTGGTTAATCCGGTGGCGATCAGGCTCAAGCTCCCTCCTGCTCTTGGTCAGGTTCACCCTGTGTTTCATGTCTCTAGGGTTAAACCTGTGTTTTCTTCTCCCCTTAACCCTGCTAGCGATCGCCCAACCCCCTCGTCTTGTAGATGGCTCCCCTACCTATACGGTTAGGAGATTACTCGACGAGCGGCGCCGCGGCAGAGGGTTTCAATATCTCGTGGACTGGGAGGGTTATGGTCCAGAGGAGAGCTGCTGGGTGCCGTCCCGGGACATTCTGGACCGTTCGTTGATCGAGGACTTCCGTCGGCGACAAGGTAGGCCTCCTCCTGGGGTGCCTGGTGGCGCTCCTGGGAGGGGGGGGTATTGTCGTGTCTCGGGTCTGATCACCTGTTCTTTGCTGTCTCTGTGTTCGGGTGTTGTGTTGTTGTGGTGTGCGTGGCTTGTTTTGACAGCTCGCCACGTGCGCATTGTCAGAGTGATTGTTTCCCCGCCCTCCTTGTTTCTCTGCTCGCTAGCTTATCTTGTTTCACACCAGGTTCTTGTTATCTCATTAGCTTCCCTTTATAGCTCCCCGTGTTTTTCTGTCTTTTGTCAGACTGTTGTGATAATTTCCATTGCTCTGACTGTCATAGTTTGTTTTACTTACCAGCCCTGTCTTGTCTTGTTCAGGCTCCAGTGCTCGTAGCTGCCTGTATAAATCATCACAATTAAAAGAACCAAAGACTTAAACTACTTCAGTCTGTGTGCATTGAATTTATTTAATACACGAGTTTCACAATTTGAGTTGAATTACTGAAATAAATGAACTTTTTCACGACATTCTAATTTATTGAGATGCACCTGTACTATGTTAATGCAAAATAATAATTAATAGTGGAACACGTTGTTTTCATAACTTAAGTTTGACACCTAAAAATGTGTACCTTTAACATGTTTTATCCGAAAAGTACAATCATGGGAGATGGTGAAATGGAGTGTTTCAGCTCGGCGGCCATTTACCTCTAGCAGCCAGAAATAGAGCTAATCGAGCTTCAGAACACCCCCTTTGATGCCAAATCAGCATTCTTCATGACAGATGCAGCTGATATGTACCTGAAAGGTATTCTTTTTAGTAAAGAGGGTGGCAAAGCTAATGTCAAAACTCACAGTGGGAAATTATAACAGATAAAAAAATTAAAAAAATATTTCATGTGTTACTGTGCTTGAGTTTTCAGAGCTCAAAGTTCTTCACTTAAATAGTGTATAAATGTGTATACAAAAAAAGTCTAAAAAAATGTTCATTACAGACGGTTACAGTAAAATAAGATGAAATATTCCCAATGAATCCTCCCATTGTTTGACAGAATTGAGGACATGGCCAACCCTTATGACTACCCAATGATCAGCCAGGGTGAAATCACTGTCAAGAGTATCGATGATGTGGAGGAGTTCATTGCCACAGATGTATGTGGACAACTGCAATATTAGTAGTAGTAGTAGTATTTTTAGATTTTATGCAACATTTCAGAGCAAAAAAACATGAGAAAAACACCAGCTTGAACTGAATACTGCATGACACAGTATAAAAGACCCGTCTTTTTTGACTCCAATAAACAATTTGATTTATTTGGTCTGTGTAAAAACAGACTGCCATTGACATTCTGGGCTTCAGTGCTGATGAGAAAATCAGCATCTACAAGCTGACAGGTGCTGTGATGCATCATGGGGCCATGAAGTTCAAACAGAAGCAGAGAGAGGAGCAGGCCGAACCTGACGGCAATGAGGGTAAGATAACATTTTAGCACAAATTAACATATAAACATTCACTTAATTAGCAATAATAAAGCAGATTGTTGACGATTTGGCATGATCTTGGATTATTTGGTTCTTCGAAGCTCATCCTGAACTTGCTGTCATAGTAACAGGTCCGTAAGCTTAAACCTGAACGGGAGCAGGCTTATTTCATATAAACAGGATTAGATTGCATCTTTTTAAGAGGAATTGGTATTTAAAATCTATCCCAGCCACTGATAATTTATTACAAGAATACCCTACTAATCACAATCATTTAAAATTATAATAATTTAAAAATTTGTGTATTTGAGTGTAAATGCATTTTCTTTGCTACTTATATAGAAGGTTTGTGCTCTAAACATGTATTTTTTAAGTGTGTATAAACTGTATTGTATAAATATAAAGAAATTATGACTGAATGTGATGTGTGTTTAATAAATTATTACATATACAGGCTAATTTATCTAGTATTAAGTATGTGAGATTTTAAAAAATGTTAATAGTAACGTCATTTTACCCAGCTGAAATCAACATCGTTTTAACGTTAGGTAAGCAAACCAATTAGATCGATGTTATGTTGATTCTGTGACGTCGTTTCAACCAACTGAAAATCAACGTCGATGCAGCGTTAGGTAAGGGAACCAATTGCTTCGATTTTCCGTTAGTTTAGAATGGCGTGCCTGACGTTGGATCAACGTTACCCCGATGAGCAAAACGATGCTGGATCGACGTCGGAGATCAACGTTGTTTCGACGCCACGAGAAACGTCGATTCTACGTTGATTCTATGCCAGTTTGCTATCTGGGTTGTTAACATGTAGGCTAGGAGCTTGCTGCATGAATCCGTGAGTAGTTTACAAACCCGAGGGAACGGATTGCAAAAGCGTGCGCACGGATTATGAATTTGTGGGTACGGATTAAAAAACCGAAGGTACGGTTTACAAAATCTGAGCGCACGGATACGGAGCCCGGGAAGTCACCTGTAGGAGAAAAAACAAACAATCCGTGGCGACGGTTTTGCAATCCGTCCCCTCAGTTTATAAACAGATCTTGTAAACCGTAACTTCGGTTTTTTAATCCGTACCCACAAATTCACAGGTAGCCTGTGTTAACGAATCGACTTGTTCTTACCCAGACAGCACACATACGTTGGGCCGATGTCGACCCGACGTACAAAATTCCATCGGCACAATGTCGCTCAGGGATCGTTTGCTAATAGGGAAGATGTTGCCGCGACGTCGGCCTCTGATCGCAAATGCTCTCCGGCCGATGTTGGGACGATGCAGCTGTAAATCCGGCCGCTCTGCGTGGACGCGGTTCACCGGCGTTTTGCTCATCGTTATGGACCACCCGCGGCAGCAGCCGCTGGTTTATAATAAAACAATACACACCACTCTCAATAAAGGTTGCAAATTTATTAAAATTTTCAATAAACATTAAATATACAAAAACATTTACATTTATCAGATGCTTTTATCAAAAGTGACTTACAAATGAGAGCATTCAAATCAATTCACAATTGTTTGTACTCTTTCAGAGATTAACCATGGTTTTACCACAGCATTTGCAGTAAATCCATAGTAAAAACAAAATCAACCATAGTTTTACTACAATAACTATGGTTTAACTATGACTGTTGCAGTAAAACCATAGTAAGCACAAAAATAACCATTACTACAGCATTCGCAGTAAAACCATAGTAACTACAAAATTTACCACGATTTCAAAAGCTACACTATAGTCATGGTTATCACGTTTACTGTAGTATTACTACAAAATAACTATAGTAGAACCATGACATCAAAACCATGGTATGAACCCTCCCCCCCAAAAAACGTCTCAGGTTACTTATGTAACCATGGTTCCCTGAGTAGGGAACGAGACACTGCGTCCTCTAGGGGTCGCTATGGGGGACGCCTCGTCGTGACCCGTGTCTGAAGTTTGGAAGGGCCTAGTTCACCTGATGCTACTGGTTCCAGGTGCTCTGGGAAAACAGAGAACTCAACTCTCATGTGAGAGGAGAACTCCGAACTCAGAAAGAATAGCGCGCTCATAGGCAACCCTTTGGTAAAGGGGAGCACTGCTAATATACCACGAGAACATCCCACGGAGCGAACCCAGACGCTCGATAGGAAGCAGCATGCTCATAGTAACCCTCAATGGTGAGGGGAGCGATACTTCCAAGTGTGTCAAAAATAGAGACACACTGGTTGAGTGGAGCCCAGGGTACCGGGGTCTAACCAACTCCGAGAAAGGGAACGAAGCTATACGCGTAACCCTTACCGTACAGGATTTCAGAAAGTGCGCAAAGTCTAGCGTGCACACTTACCACTTATGTGGATTTTAGAAAGTGCGCAAAGTGCTCAGCGTGCACACTTACCACTACTGTGGATTTTAGAAAGTGCGCAAAGTGTTCAACGTGCGCACTTACCATTATGTGGGTTTCAGAAAGTGCACAGAGCTTAGCTTACCATAGTATGGATTTAAATTTCCGGCATCTGATCACAGATACCCGGAGGTATTGGGCCAAACAGGAGAGGCAAGCTCAAATACGACCCTCTAAGGCGAGGGGAGCACTGCCTGAGACAGCATCACACAAGAAGGTTCTCGCAAATGCCACCTATACTTCCCGCTCGATGCCTCAGCAAGAGGGGATATCCTGGAGCCCGGACATCCAGGAATCTTTTTGCAGTGTCGTACCGGGGGCCTGATGATCAAGAAGGCTCCCGCAGAAGCCTCTGACCTGGCCGCATGGTCCAGGAAGCATGAACCAGGGCTATCATACCGGCTGGACACAATATCGACGAGTGAGGTAACACTGCCAGTCGAGCACCTGGTCTCTGAATCCAGCAAAGGGGTGCTCACAGAGGAGCTACCTTAAAAAGGACAGAAACACACAGGTCCCGGAAAACGCTGCACAGAAATCTCACAGAAGGATTATACACACATAACCATCAGCACGTTAAAAACATATATATACATAAATATATATATAGAATGGATCATACTCACCCACCATGGTCCCCGCGCCGGAGCCCCGTTCAAGAGGCGACTCAAAGAAGCCTCTAGTCCAGACCATCAGCAAGGTGGTCACTATGAAGCCATAGAACCAACCAAACATATAGGTCCAGCACAGGAGACGGAAATGCAGGAAAATTCCTACCTAACCTCAGTCAGGTGGAGAGCTGGTGGTTATAGGGGAATTAGGAGCTACCGGACAAAATCGCTGACGCCCTGTCTGGATAACATCCCTTAGGTCTTTTACTTACCTTCCTTTGCCCCGCGATTCTTCCTCCCCCTACCCGCAGGCGGGGGAGGAGCGCGAGCCGCGACACTAGCCTTCTGTGGTTGTCTCTGATCCTTAGACCGAGACGGACCAGGACCCCTATGCTGTTCGGGGTTAGACCTGGACCATCGTGAAATGTAGGACTGAAGGCCGCTGAGCGCGCCTTTGCCTCCCTGAACTTCTCAACCACCGTCTCAACGGAGGTAACAAAAAATATTCGGAAGGCAAAACCGGCGCATCGAGAAGAAAGCCCCTCTCTTCCATCCCGATATCTGCCAGGTTCACCCACAGATGTCTCTCAATACCTACTATAGCTGCCATGCTTAGTAGCACAGAGAGTGAGATCTGTGGTGCGGCGAAACTCAGCTACCTCATCAGGCCTCTATCCAGGTCTTCCAGCAGGTGAGCCTAATATGCCTGGAGCACCGCATTTTGTGCAACGAAGCAACAGCCTGACCTGCTGCTGCATATGCCCTGCCATCTAAGCGAGATGGCAAGGAGGGAGTTTTAAGAGAGGACGTCTCACCCATAGAAAGATAGCTAGCCAGTCGTCTTTTTTGCAGGGGCATCCTCTCATAGTCGTTTCCGCGCATCGCCTCGATGTTGGCATAACTCGTATGCTGGAATCGATGAATGCGTAAGAAAGATAATGCTCAAAACTCACCATACGCAGAGCAGGAGGATTGGGAAGGCTCAGCCTCAGCTTCTTCGCCGTCCTCAGACATCTCCTGCTCTTACCGGGCCGAACCCAGCAGAGCACTAACATCATCCTCCAGCAGCTTACTCTCGTCCACAGCCGACGAGGGCGAGAGGGAAAACCCCTTTTTAAACTCATCAGCCGGATCCACCTGCGATCCCCA